TACAAGATGGAAAACTGTAACCAGACATATTGGAAAAAAACTGAAGCCCGCTTCAAATGGCTAGTCTCTCCATTGAGTAAAATCCATTGAATCAATGGGGTTTACAAAAATGTTAGATTACTCTTCAGCAGTTGATTTAATCAGTCTACTCTTGGTGGGACTAGATGGTATGAAATACCATAGAACTTAAAGAGATGTGGATTAAATCAGATTCACTGTTTTATTTCCCAAGACGGATGGGCGGATGGAAAGATAGTTGTCTGCAGTCTCGTCATATAGCAGTGCATATGTTTTCCTGATGGATGTTAAAAGACAAGTTAGCTGAAGAGATACAAAATAAAAAGGACTGTCCAGTCTCAATTTAGATTAAAAAAATAAAGGAGAACTGCGGAGAGTTGTAAAAGTCTGCCCATAAACCTTCGTATCACCCAGTCAACAGATTGTGTTAGTTTACAGGCCAGCCGGCCAGAATCTTACCCAGGACAGCAAAATATATCACATTTCTGCTTAAATTATATTGTTTCCAAACTTATCTCTTTGTATGCAAAGTAGCATATGAAAAAAAAAATTTTATGCACACATTTCCCTCCTTTTTGACTATTCATAAGTAGCCACCCTAATAGTTTGTTGGCCAAATGCTGAAAAGTGACCTAGAACACAATCCTCCTCTTGAAAAGGCCTGGGGTGAAATGTTTCCTCTTTTATTCCAAACCACTCACCAATTCAGAATGAGCCAACGGCCAGCCGGCTGTAGGCAGACCGCATGGAGCTAAGAAGAGAGGTGCTTGCTTCAAGAAACAGGAAAGCCTTTTTTCCCCCACTTCTTTGCTGCCTTAAGGGCTGAAACCTGTTTCTAATTGAGACAGGGCATCAAAAGCAGTTCCTGCAGGAGGGTTATAATTGCTTGTATATTTGTTTGGAAGTAAATCCTACTCAGTATACTGTATCAGATTTACTACTGGACAGAGGTTGCCCGATGGTCTGAGCAGAAGGGGAAACTTCAAAAATTTGGGGGTAAGGCACATGCTTAGACCATGTGGCAAATACACAGAGGTTCAGATGGCAGCAGGGTTTCTGCCCATCACCTCTGCTGGAAGACCAAAGCAATTCGGAAAGGTTTGGTCCTTGAGAGTGGTGAGAAGCAGACACTGGCAAAGATACTTGTAACGGGGAAAAAATCAAATATTTTAAGAAGAACCCAATTGTAAAACATATGTGCGCTTTACAATTGGGTTTCAGATGTATACCATTAAAGATCCGCAAGAAGTGTGTGCAGAGGAAAAGGAAAGGGGGTCAGAGGGTTCAGTGTCCAGTTACTTAGTCATAAGAGATGACTATGCTTTTGTGGCTTTCTGCCAGAAAAGAGAAATAAATGCATCTTGAACGTTGATAGCTGAACTATTTCAGAGTCAGGAATGGTTTCAAGTTTCAGGAGTTCCTGGGCCAAAGACATGAGAAATGTTCAGTTTTCAACTACTCTCACAATGCCATAGGCCAGTACTGTAATTAGCTGATGTGTTTAGCTGGCTGGCATTTTTATCTGGTGGCAGAAGCATACCTCCAAGCTGCCCTGACCAGACAGAGTTAGTGTCCCATAACAATGTTAGTCAATGGCTTTGCAGGAAAATTAAACGGTTTTCCCCCAAACAAAATAACATTAAAGTGTGGCTGTGATGATGATGGTGACAGTGGTACCAACAGGACAGGATTTGCCTGCAAACCTGCTATAACATTGCAACTCTCTGTTTCCAAGGTTGCCAACTACTGGGCTAACTCTGTTTCAGAGTCATGGTTTGTAAAGTTTTGCCTTTTTGGACCAAAGTTTCAAAACCTCAGTCAGCTAGTATAACCCCTATGAAATATTGGTTCAGCCCAAAGACTAAGAAAGAGCAGGGCTATGAGGAAGAGATTTGAATCAGAAAGAGTGGGAGAGCTCAAAAGATCAGAGCTGCTATTGCCACCTATACTGCCAAGGCCCTTGCCAAGTTGGTCTAGGTATAATTCCTATATGTTTGTGTTGGAGGAGTAAATCCACATAGTGAATTAATGTACAGTATATGCAATTGAATTGTTATTTTATTATAGAGTTTTGAAGATTCTGCATGTGGAGCTGGTTCTTCTATGGTATGGATACCCAGACCAGTTGAGGAAGGTATTGTTCTGAGTTTTAATTCAAAATAACACCTGGACTTTGCAATTCTACAAGCAATTTCTGTACGTATTAGTGCGGTTGCCAAGACTTTGGAGACACAAATTGTAGCATTTTGTTATAATTGCTCACACTGTCTGTTATATAACTGTGAATCAGAAGAGACTCATTTTGTGAAATTGTGTCTGGAAGGTTCATTGATAGATATTTTAGCAAACAAACAGCCCCATAGAACTTTAAAGTATTACGCTAGGCACTCTAATGACTGTGATAGATGGGAGATGGTCACATTTGTAGTCTAGAAAATTACTTTCTAGGAGTAAACTTTTTCAAAGCTCTGGAATGAATAAAGAGAAGGGTGGCCACGTGCAAATATTGATCAGCAATGTACCTGGAAGAGAAATGGTTACAGTGAGAGAGGCAGAGCATGTTCACCAGATAAAAATGCCGAAAGGCCTTCAGTCTGGCTATGGCTGACCGCATCATATGTTCTAACAAGCTTAGGACAGGAGTCAATCCGCAATCAATAACTTTTTTCAAATGTGTGATTTCCAGATACCTTTTCCTATTAAGCCACTGACATGCTCTATGCTGAGCATGGGAAAGTTTCTCTTCCCCTATATCTCCCATAATGCCTGAGCCATCCAATAGGGACTTAAATATGATCTCTTTTATTTAGAAAAATTAGGCAGCTGGGATAGTATGACAGAATAATAGTTATGACCTGGGTTCAAACTCAACTTCACTGTGGACACATATGGCAAACTGTCCCTTGTCTCCTATATCTTGAGAATCCTTTTTGGAAGTTCTCAAGTTACTTCAGGTTGGAAGTGACCTAATGACGCATAATGAAACCATTGGTCAATAAATCTATATAATGCAATTCATAAAGAAACAGATTCTGACTTTAATCTATGATGGGGTTATTAATTCATGATACTTCATATCGCTGATCATGAGTGCTCTTTCTTCAACATGCATCTGAAATAATGTTGTACAGTAAGGTAGATGCTATTAAAAACATATTGTGCTAATCACGTTCAGTAATTTGACTACATGCAATCTTGTTCCTCCAAAGAGGCGTACGGTAAATATGATTTTGCAGAAGCGAAGAAGACATTATTAACGGATATGACATAAGAATTCACAGACATAACAAAGCATGTAGCGTTATATGTGTCCCAATTTCTAAAATACATAAAAATGCAATTTGAGACTTAAGTGTATTTGTTGAATAAAAGTATAAGATATAAGGCAAAGCAATTTAGCAAATAAATAATTCAGACTGAGGAGATAAAAATAAATATACAGGTTGAAGCAAAAGGCTTATTCTGTTATAATGAATACAATAAAAGATTTAGGCCATTGTTTGGGTGCCAAATAATGTAATTAAATTTAGTAGATACATTATGAACTTCCCTCTCCCTCTTTTTATCCCTTTCCTTCTCAATGATGTTGCACATTGCAGTCCATTTACTTTGTCTTATACACATGAGGAGACCTGCTCAAAGCCAAATTGGTTACTCCTTCCGTACTTTTGCCCTGTGCCCTTAATGGGAATTGTAGTCTATGATGAAATGTTGGGAGAATGATATTACATTATGAAACTGAGATGGAGGGGACAGTTGTAAAGGAAAGCAGTTAATGAATTATCTAGTAACAACGGTACTGAGTGATATTACATTAAAACAAATTAAAATTTGAGCTTGGTAATCGTAAAGTAATGATGTTGTAATGTGCCCCTTTGGAATGAATGCTAATGTAAGGAAGTTGCTTTTTAATGACATTTGTAAGCTATGTTACCATTTTAGTGTAATGAGTAATGTTTATTTGCTACA